GAGGGGCTGTGTGCTGATGACCCGGGGGTGGTGGCGGGTGGGGGGGGGGCATGGAGGGGATTGTAACCATGGTAATAAAACGATATATGATAGGATGAATGTAAAGCTAATGTTCTCCCATGTAAACTATCACATAATTCACAATAAAACATTTAAGAAAAAGAAAAAAAAAACATGTGAAACATATCCCTACACTGCACTGACTTTAAATTCAAATTCAAGGAACCCACATTTGCATACAAACTGTTAATGAAAATAAGCTTTATTACATCAAGTAATAAATACATACAAAGATGCAAACAGTTTGAGAGTCATTCCCCCCCCCCAATTGTTTCAATCAACTTACAAGAAGGACAGAACTGAAATCTACACATCGTCTGAATATTAAAAATTTGGGAGGGGGGCCTTGTTAGGTTTTGGACAATTGCTCTTTCTTCTGTATTTATAACTTGTGCATTTTTTTTTTATTGATTTCAAAGCACTAAAAGTCATGCAAACGTTTAAGCAAAAAAGTTCTGTGAAGCAGAATCTACACCGGATGGCAAACTGGGAGCCAGTGAGGGAGCAGAGCAGGCCTGCTGTCAGCGGTTATGAAAAGAAAAACAAACCTTTAAAGTTGTATTAGCTTATGAAAAGGGACAAAGAGCAATTTAGGTAACATGAACATATTCGAAACAGAATAGTAAGGTGAGACATTGCGTTTCTGGAAGCAAACTACAGTTTGCTGTACGACTGGGAACTTTCCAAGCAGTTTTTAAATCAATGCTTACAAAAAAGGAAGAATCTCTGTAGAGCCCAACAATTGAAAATGCAAATCCTAATCAACTGCAAAAATCTTTCTCAACCTTACAAATGGTAGGTTCACAGCCCAGTGAACCAGGGAAGGGAAACGGAGAGGGGTTTAAAAAAAAAAAAGTTACCACGTGAAAAACAAAAAGGACGATGTGCTGTAACATTTCATCTTGGGAAAAAAAGATGGAAAACCCTCAAAGCCAACAGGGTGGCTAGGATCGGGCATTCCGTTCCGTCTCAGCCAAGCACTCCCGGACCAGTCCTCTGGCGTGAATGATGCCTGAAAAGGAAGCAGAGGCCACTGGTCACCCAACATGGATCCATGGAAGAACCCATGCTGGGACTGGAAGAGAATCCTTAAAAAACCCAGCCATAAAACTCTCACCTTAGAAGGGAACTTGGGACTGGGGCGGGAACATGTGCTTTTCAAAGGTTCTGGCAGATTCCCCTGAAGGAGCCCTGGTAGCGTAGTGGGTTAAGCCTTTGGGCTGCTAACTGCAGGGTTGGCGGTTTGAACCCACCAGCCACTTTGCATGAGATAGATGAGGCAGTCTGCTTTGGTAAAGGCTGACAACCTTGGAAACCCTAAGTACAGTTCTGCACTGTCCTATGAGGTCCACAGCCGCGTGGGGTTGGGTTTGGGGTTTTTAGTTGGTCTCATCTCACCTTTCAAAGCTTACTCCACATCCTTCCCCCCCCCCTTTTTTTTTTTTTCAATTTTTCATTGTGATTTGGTTTAAAGTTTACAGAGCAAATTGATTCACAGACTTTGATTCGCAGCATTGAGTGCAATCCCCCAACACAACGGCACTCTTCCCACTTAACTCCCTTCTTCCCTATTTCTATCCAGTCTTTGCTGTCTTTTCCTGCCTTCTGAGCTTTTTTGCTGTGTGAAGTGCCCTCAAGTTGGTTACGACTCATAGCAACACTGTGTAGGCTTTCCGAGGAGCAGCTGCTGGGTTTGAACCACCAACCATGCAGTTAGCAGTCCACTGCTTATCCTACAGCACCACGCCTGGACAAATGCTGCCCTTTTGATCTCAAATGGTTGATTATCCTAAGGAGCGGTACCTCTCTTAAGGTTACTGGTCACATTTTAGGCCTACCACACTTGGCTGAAAGCTGAGCCATGGGGTGAGTTCTGTTCCAGGTTCAAAGGGTGAGTCTAAGGGTCACCGTTTCAGGGATTCTACCATAGAACCCAAGTTCTTTATGTCCCCCTACATGTCTTTCTGCACTCAAAGAGACAAGCAGCAAGCTCTCCTATGTGACATGTTGGTGGCTAATGGTAATAAACATGTCTTCACCCAAATCCTTTCAGCTTCTTTGGTAGGAGATTCCATTCCTTTCAAATCATTTTTTTTTTTTTCTGAATCTTCATATTCTGAATTCTAGAAAGGGCTTGACTATTAATCAACTATGGCAAGCGACTACAACCAGCCTGGACGTCTTAGGGTGTAAATCAAGTACCACTCATGTTAGATTCAGTCCACTGGCCATCGTTCCCACCTCCCCTGCCCCCCAGGGTCCTTCTGTCATCTGCTGCTCTTATCAATTTCCTCCAGCTTTCATGGCTATACTGTATTATTATTAAGTGCTGTCAAGTTGGTTCCGACTCATAGAGACCCCTGTATAGGGTTGACGAGGAGAGGCTGGTGAGCTTGAACCACCGACCTTGTAGTTCACACAGACCTTGCAGTCTAGCACATTAACCCGCAGCACTAAACCAGGGCTCCACTCCAGGAAATGTTGATTCTAATCAGCAGCAGGAATTCTATTCTTTCTACGATAAAACTCCCAGAGGAAACGGGGACTGATCCTTCCCCTCAAGGAACTGACAGCTAAAACTTAGGGATCTACACCTCACAAATCAGCAAACCTTTTCTGTGAGGGGACAGAGCGCAGGCATTTTTGGCTTTGCGGACCAAAGATCTGTCACAATTACTCCGCCCTGTCACTGTTTCACAAAAGCACTCACAGATGATACACTGGCAATGGAGACGACCACATTCCACGTGGATGCGGAAGTTGCAATTTCATGTCCTTTTCACATCCCAAAAGTTATTTCTTCTTTTGTGTTTTTTTTCCCCCTCAACCATTCCAGAATGTGAAAACCATTCTTAGCTCAAGAGTCAGTTTGCTAGACTGTCAGTGCTGACTCCCCCTACCTCCGCTCTCAGCTTCCCGGACATAAAACCAGCTACCCTGGCTGGACTTCGGTTCCAGGGGTTGATGCTAGTTTTTGTTGTTACCTGGGAACCAGCAGCTTGCCCAGGACCTGTTAGGGCAGCCACTCGCGGTATCCATGTGTTGGCTTGAACCATAGCAATTTGCAGTCAAATGGGCTGTCAGATCTTGGGGTCACCATCTTTCAGTTTTGCAGTTACCAGAAAGCTCTTCCTTCCTCTGTCTTCCAGGAAGCAGAGCGACACCCACCCGGCAACAGGAGAGAGGAGATCAGGCTGCAGAGCTCTCTCCTAAGCCCTCCTCAGACACCATCTACCTCGGTCAGCTTCCATGGAAACCCCCCAGTTAGCATCCCGGCTCATCTCTTCCCAAAAGTTCCCAAACACCAGTCATGGAGTCTGCCCTCAACTCTAGGGGGCCAGGACCTCCACAATACCGCCCGCCCCTCCCTGCCACAAGTTTATAGTCAGAGGTCACCCCTCAGCTTTCTCCAGAAATGGCTTCACTCATCTTTTTAAAAACTCCCAACTCTCCTGAGGACTCCTAGTGGTGCTGTGGGCTAAGTGTTGCATTGCTAACTGAAAGGTCAGCAGTTTGAATCCACCACCCAACCACTCCCAAAGAGAAAGACGTGGCAGTCTGCTTTCATATACATTGCCAGCCTTAGAAACCCTACAAGCAGTTCTACTCTGTCTATGGGGTCACTGACTCGATTTGATGACAGTGGGTAAAAACTCTGGAAGATAAATCAGCCTGTCAGTCTAAGCTCTTTTGCACCACACCACCTTATGAAGCAGAATCCTGACCTACCACCCCAATTCCCATTTTACATAACCAAGCAACAGTCCATCTGCGTAGCCTGAGACATGGCCAGTCCCACTTTCCACGAGGCACTCGTGTCCCTGACCCCTTCCTCCCTCCTGGGCCGTCACAACAGAACTCCTAAGTGCTGTCCCCCCAGAACCAGGATGGAGTCACCTCCACCACCAGACAGTTCCAGACACAGATCAACCAGGCATACCACCCCAGGACCAGGACGGCCATCGGAGCAGAGGCAAGGTGGCAAAGCCACAGCGTCTCAGCCCCAAGGTTCCTTTGAAAAGAAACAGATGACATCCACCAAGGTCAGAGAAACACCCTGGCTGGGGCTGTCTGCCTCAAAAACACCCATCTGAGAAGGAGTCTCTAATAGCCCTTTTCCACTGGACTCAAAGACACCGCCTCCGTCACACAGCCTATATGCCATAGCACAGGTGTCCCCGTGGGTCAGGGACTCTGACCCCACCCCCACCCTCCTCTTATGCCAGTCAGCGCTCACCTCGCTTCAGGCGCTCCATGGCGCTCTTGCTCCCGGCGTAGGTGGGTCTGATCTCTTTTCCCAGCTCTTCAATGATGGCCAGCAGCTCCGCGTATTTGCTCTGGGGTACCTGGCTGTTCCCAGTTCCCTGGAAGCAGGAGGAGGTAGCTTCAGATCAGTGCAAACCCCAGTGTGACCCCCAGTGCTGTGAGCAGGGCTGAAACCACTCGGACAGGCAGCAGTAACAAGGGGCAGAACAAAACCTCTCACTGGAGGCTACAGGCAGAGGCGCGAGGGCTGCTGAGGGGGAAGGGGGAACAACCCAGCAGAGGACCCCCAAGCTGCTGCCTCAGCTCAGGTGAGGCACGGGCCGGGCCAGCCTTCCAAGTCCCTTAGCAGCAAAGGTTAGGAAGCTTCACTCCAAAGAAACCAGTCAACAGTCTCCAGAAGGCTCTTCTATTGTTTCAAGCAATAATGAGAAGGCCTGGTAGGGAAACTTCTAGAAGTCAGATGGATAGGCAAGTTAAGTCCCAAGGGTTAAGTGTCCAAGGAGAGAGGACAAGGATGGGCAAGACAAGGCAGACCTAAGACCTCCAACAGAGCCCGCTCTGGGCTCCTCTTCACACCATCCTCCTACCAGCAGGATCCACGAGGTACTCAACAGTGGTGTGGTGGGCTGGGCTGCTGCTTGCTGGGCCCTCCTGGTCCCCAGAGTCCTTCTCCCACAGCTGCACCAGGGAAGCCATCTCCCTCCGTAAGATCCTTGCCTGCACCTCCCTCCTCCTCTCCTGCCGCCACCACCAGTCCTGCTCCTCCAGCTTCCAGGCCTGGTCCCTCCTCCTGTCCTTCTCCCTCAAGTACTTAAGCCACCGCCGCCTCACAGCCAGAGTGCTAGGCTGCCGCTGAGCGGCGTCCCCCCAGCATGGCTGCATCTTCGGGTAGTCCTGCTCCCCCCACGCCACCGCAGACCGTCGGAACATTACCACCAGGTCCAGCCCTGGCTACCACATTCCAAGGAACAATCGTCCTCAGAATGTTCCAGCACACCGGGCTAGTCCTCACCAGTGCCACCCAAAAAGACTCCCCTTATACATTCAGTTGAGAACCAGCATTAGCCCCGCCTGACTGAGGAAGAAACCGAGTCTCGGGCCTCTAAGAGGTGGTCACTGTCTAGTGAGAGGTGGAGTCAGAGCTGAGACCCAAGCAGCCTCTCCCTAGGGTCCCGCTTGTCATCACCTGTGTTCAATGAAACCCTCTGAGTCCCGGAAGCCCAGATAGCTCCAGGATCTGTCCCTGTCTTTGCCAGACAGAGTGGAAAGAGAGTGTGGATGCAAGCTTAGAGGCTTGTCTCAGTGCTCTTCCCCTCCCACCTCCGTGCGGTCACCCTCCATTCTTACTAAACTTTGTGATGCTCAGACGATCGTCCCACCCCATCACTGTTCTTCCTTTGTCTTGTCTACCAGGTTCACATCCCTAACAGGAACACACCTCGTTTTTCTTGGTGCCCAGGACAGTCAGTCCCCACACCCTCCCTCCATGTCATCACCCCACAGCCATACCTGGGTGTACCCGAGTGATGGTGGCCCGTAGTCACTCAGCAGCTGGCGGTACTGGGAGGACGTCGCCATGCTGGTAGAAGGAGAGTGGACACTCCCAGCTGTAGAGCAAGAGGGAAGAGAAGGTCTCAGGAATTGTATGCCTTTGGCCAACACGGCAGGCCCCGACCCAGAACCCACACCAACAGTAGTCTGTCTTCTCAGGACAGAGCACACAGGCATGTGACCTCTAGTCTGACCGGACACGGCCCTGACACTTGGCCTAGATAAATCAATGGTGAAAATGAATCCAAAAGCACCCAATCTTCTTCCCCACCACCACTGCAGGCATCACTAATCAATCACAGAACTTCTTCTTCCCACCCCAGCTGTCAGAATTGGTACCCAAGATGAAAGTGGTGGTCACTCTAGGGTAGTCCCCTTTCTTGGGTCCTGCTTCCCAGAGGTTGACACATCCAAGAATCACACCACCACAAGACCACCTGCTACTGAGGCTGGTCCACACCTGTGCTAAGATTTTCTAAGACAAGGAAGTATTTTTGCTCCTGTGTGCCCACGTCACTGCTAGTGAGATTCACAGGGTGGAGAAGACAGAAGGCCTGGGAGATGGAAACCCCCAGGCTACAGACCCTGGGTTCTCTGTGTGACTTCATACGAGCCCCCAATCTCTACACGCCTTAGTCACCTTCTGACCCACCGAGAAGACAAACAAGTCTCTTGACAAGTCTTTTTCTCTGTCCCAGATGGTTCTGCACCCCAAGATATGGCCCCACTTTCAAGTAAGCAGCTCTTTGAGACCCTGTCCTGGGTTGGCCATCTGAAACTGAATAGGGTCCCAGAGTCTCCCTGATGGGGGACCCTCAAAGGGGGCTTCTCCTGCTCCAGCTACACCGCTAAAAGCACACAGACCCGTAATGGCGTCTGAGTGGCCATTAACGGGTGAAAGCCATCCTACAGAATTACAAACAGCGGTAACCATGGAGAATTTACCTAGTCCTCCCCAGCAGCCGCCTGTTTGCCTGCCCACCCACCCGCCTGCCTCCACACCCCACAGGGAGCAGCGCCCCTCCCCTGCCACCCTCCCCAGAGCCAAACAGCCCCTCTCACACACAAAAGCCTTGCAGACCCAGCCCCAAGGACAGACAGCTGGTGCCAGGGACAGCCAAAGCGGCCAGCTGCTCACCCAGGGTGGGCAAGGGGAGGGGCTGGGCAGAACTAAGTTCAAGATCATCGGCAGAAGGAACGGGAACAGGCCCAGGGAACCCTGGAACAAGGCCCCTCGAGGGAGAGGAAGCACAGAACCAGTACAGGAGCTGTCCTGACCCAGGAAGTGCTCTCTACACCTGCCCTCCCACTGCCCAGTTCTGGACCCAGATGCTCTCTCAGTCCCAGCCCTGCCCAGATGGATCCACTTGGCCCAGGGTTATTGTGAAGCTAAAGTTATCACAGGAAACCTGGGCTTATGGACCACCTCCAGGCCAATCACTGGGCCTCTCGGAGCCTCAGTTTTCCTGTCTGTGAAGTAGGAATGACGACATACCTCTACTACACAAAGTTGCTACTCAAGCCAGGGATGCCCTCCAGGAGCATTTGTCACCTCAGCTAAGACACCAACAGGTGTGGGGCAGGGCTAGTGCCCCCATATCAGCTAAGCTCTTGCTTCCAGAACCTTCCAGAGGATAGGGCCTAAGAAGGGCAGGTGGAACGTGCATTGAGGGGCACAAGCTTTGCGGATCCACACCTGAGTTCCACAAATCCTGCTCAAAACAAGTTACAACCCTTCCTGTGAAGGTGCTAGGTGCCAGGGGCAAGGTCAACCTTCTAATCTCTCCAAGCAGAAGAGCAAGAAGCTCAGTGTGTCTTCTGCTCACCCCACCTTCCTGCCTTGTTTCCTCCTTTTCCTGTCTTTGTCCCCATGGGATAGGGCCACTCCTGACTGTGTGACCTTGGCCAATGCTCCTCCTTCTCGGTACCTCAGTTTCCCCAGTTATCTGAAGCAATGGTTCCCTGTAGATTATCGATTGGCTTTAGATCTTCCTGGGGTTAGGCCTTGGGGACCAAAGGGAGAGGAGTGAAAAATCACCCCGTTTCGGTGCGAGGGGAGTCAGCCCGTAGCTCAGGACTCTAGTGTTTCAACGCCCCAGTCACATGATGGAGGACCCCGATCCTATGTCACTACCAGTCCCTTCTCCGGTACTGGAGGGAGTGTCTCTGGTCCAGGAGAGAGTTGATGAAAGGCCCCTAGTGCCACTCCTGGCCACTCCTTCCTGTAGACACTGGAAGGGCCAGTGGGTCGGCCGAGGGAGGCCCCCAGGAGAAGCAGACTCCGCGTCAGCATCAGCTCAGTCTCCGGAGCATCAGACAATGAGCCAGTGTGCAGGAGGGCCAGGAAACTCCTGGGGCCGGAGATCCCCGCCCCCACGCCAGACAAAGAGCCAGCCGGGCCTGGGGAGCTGGCAGCCTTCCCGCCACTCGGGGCGCCCCCTGGGGGGCTCTCCAGTGGGGAAGAAGGGGCTTTGTCTAATGCCTCCGCCACTGCTGGCCAGGCCGCGACTTGGCAACCCACGAGCAGGAGGCTGGGCTGCAGGGCGTGAGGGATGATGACAGGGAAGCCAGGAGGAGCAGCTCGATTGGAGAGTCCATCTTGGATGCAAATGGAGAGACAGGGGTTTCAGCAAAGGGGTCCACAGGGAGGAGGCAGGCCCCCCCAAAAGATAACAGCAATATGGGGGCAGCACTCCTGGAATGCACCATAGGAGACAGAGAAAGCCTGCGAGCATACAGGTGCCAGCTCATCCTGCACAGAGCTGCAGGGGTGCTGAGTGGGAGTCCCCTTCAATCTCAGTGACCCCAATCCCTCCAGGCCCCAGTGTTGGTTGGGGTGTAAGCCTCAACTACACCAGGACAGGCCTGAGAATCCCACCTGCCCAGCTGGCACTAACCCCCACCCAGCCCAGCCCAACAGAGTGGGAAGAGGCAGGAGAAACCCACCTGGGCAACAAAGCCTGTCTGTCTTTGTGAGGTCTTCAGACCCCTCAGGAGGGGAGGCCACATGAGAAAATGGGGACTGTTTGCTCTCAGAGGCCATATCTGAGGAAGTCAACTCAGTCCCCAGCTACAACCTAACCCTTTCCAAACCCCAAAACCTCAGTGTCCAATAAGTTCTGTGGGGTTTGGTTTTGTTTTATTTGGGGGGGGGGGGGGGGATCCCTTTACAATTTCTGTAGTTAGGGAGTCAAAATTTAAAAACCTGGCCTGTACCTCGGGGCACACTGCCAGCTTGGCATTTGGCAGCAGAACCTTGCCCGAGGGCAAGGTCTTTGCCCCCCACCCAAGTTACCCCGCTTTTTGGATGTATGTTTCCAATCAAGTGTCTAAATGAGACGGCCCCCGGTGAGAGGGCAAAGCCGATCACCTAAGAACCCCAACAATTTTACCTCCCCTACCCGAAGACTCCCAGAGTCCCTGGTATACCACCCCCTGGGCACAGCCTAAGGAAAGCGGTCTGACAACTTCTGGAAGAGTTTCCGGAACCGCCCCCCTTCTAGGGAGGGGAGATAGGGCCCTCCTGACTTGTGCAGGATGGGGTCCTAACAGGGCCAGACTTGGGGGCTCTGAGATCTGGGCCTCAGAAATGCCGCACCCACCCACCGCCCTCTAAAGAAGCCGTGCAGCCACGAGTCTTCTCCAACTTCTCTGACTCTGCGAGCGCCGGAAGGGGGTCTACCGAGGGCCCCCTCCTGGGCGCCCCCGGTTACGGCCTTCAAGGCCGGATCCCTCGTGCCCTTTGAGTCCCCAACCAAACCAGCACTCTCCCCCCCAGCCCCCGGTCCCCAGCCCCGTACCCTCAGGGGCGGTCGCAGCCAGGGTCGGCCACAACCTGGCACGCCCGCAGTCCCTGCGGGCCGGCACGGGCACCGCACTGGCCGCGTGCAGCCCAGCAGTCCGGCGCCCCACTTGGGCCTGCCCCCCGCGCCCCGGGCGCCAGCGCGCTCCCGCCTCCCGCCGGCAGGGGCCCTCGCCGAGCTGCCCGAAAGCCGCCGGAGGAAAAAGAAGCCAGAAAAGCCTCCCTTAGCTCGTGCCGTCCCTGGATCCTCCGGCCACGGCGTGGGGGACCGCTGCTGCCCGCGACCCGGCCGGCCCCCGGCCCGACCCCGAACAGGCCCGGGGGGCGCGGGGCGCGGGACGAAGTTTGGCGCGCGGCGCCGGAATCATGGCGGCAGCGGCGGCTCTGCCCCGGGCCGGACCGGGTGCCGGCGCCCAGGTCGCGCCGCCAGGCCTCCGGGAGCCCCGGGCCGGCTGAGCGCCCGGGCCCCAACTTGGCGGCACTTGGCACGGCGCGCGGCCGGACGCTCACTCACCCGCGTTGAGGGCGGCGGCGGGCATGTGCGCGTTCAAGTTCGGCTTGTACGA